TTCTAAATCAACGTCAATTGTTTTCCCAGATGCATTTAGGTGTGTCCCAAAAATGGTCATGTGGCAAAACCAATCCTGCTAACTCTCGACTCAGCGGAGCCATACGTCGTTCAACCCTGTTATATGCTGAATAATGAGGTGCATGAATTCTTGTTAGATAGACATCCAAATCCCATTAATAAATCTTGCAATTGCAACTTGCAATGGTTTGGAAAACCTTGGATTTTCATCAGGGCCTCCATCACATGCAACAACAAATATAGGTTTTACCTGACCTTCTGGAGTACAAATATGAAGCTTAAAATTTTCAATTGAAACAAGACGCTCCAAATCACGGCCATGAGTAAAAGCAGTGCTGCTATCATGCTTCATAGATCTAATAGCAATATACGTTGGGCCAGAATATGACACTGCGTCAGCAAATTTGTTTGGATCAATAATACAAGATGCATAAACAGACGGTATAACCTTATGTCTGGAAGCGACTAAAAAATCATGATCTGGCAAACGTACTTGATAATCAAGATGCATCAAAATTGGTGATCGTTTTGTTGCAGCTGCTAATCCTAATGGTACTTTAGCTTTGTCGTCTATACTTAAATAAAAGCATGAATCTGTACCAATTATTGAACAAACTTCAACCATGTATTGCATGCACGCAAATGTAAATCCAGCATCGATATGCCTATCACGAGCTGTATTAGCAGTCCTGATCAATTTCACAGGAACTGTCTTAATGTGACGCATTCCCTCAAGTGTGTTTGATCGCTTAGGCATCAGTCTTAAATAAGTTGCAGATCGCGGTAAACAATAACCCAGTTTTAGTAGGCTTTTATTTAAGTCATCAAGTGTCTTACATGAACGTAACTCCTGCAATCTTCGTCGATCGCTAGCAGCGGCTCCTATTGATGCGATGTTAACGACGGCATTAAGAAGATCTGGCTGGTCTTCAATTACAGCTGGTCTACCATTTTTTTCTCTATTGAATTTAGAAAGTTTTGATTTTAAGTAGGGCGTGTCATCGACAATATCATTATGTGTTCGTTTCAAACTTGCTCTGCGTTGTCTTTGACGGATTGCCTCGCGTTTCATTTTTTTAAGACGGTTTTGTTTTATTTTTATTTGCTTTTCTAAAAAAATCGATTTTATTTTAAGTTCGTCAGTTATCAATCCTGCACGGCGCACATTTACCAATGTTAACAGCTGCTCTTTTAACTGCAAAATTTCAGTTTGAATTTTCTCTTGTTGTGGAGTATGAGATTTTGTCGGCTGATCAATTGGTACTTCCGTTTGTGATTTTTGGCTTTTTTGAATATCAAATTTAGAAGAAGTAGCTAGTGTTTTATTGATTTCAAAATCTATTTTGTCTGCTTCATCGGAAGTTAACAAAGCCTCTTGTCACTCATCTGATATTTTGTTTGTGAGAGGAAGCTTCACTGCAATAAATTGATTATTTGATGTTTTAACATTAGACCAAAAAGACATCAACTGACTTTTACTTTCCATTGTTTTTCGTGTGAGTTCTTGAATCATTCGTCAATTCTTTATGCTTCACTTTATACCACAATTTATTAGCTTATTTCTGTTGCTCCTGTTTACTTTTTTGTGGCAAAGCTTTTGCTACTTGTTGGTAAATAATTTTGTACTTTTCACTATTATTCATTTTAATAATTCCGCCTTCAAACTAATTTTTAACTGACTATTTAAAGCACAACTTAAATTTACAAGCTACAATAAATGCAAACGGGGGTTGTTTGTTTAGTTTTTAAATAATTTATAGTATCTTATTTTTATTATAAAATATTTTTTACAAAATAAAGTTTAAAAAATTATAAAAAATACTATTTAGATAATAATTTCAAAAATTAATATTTAAAGTTTAACAATTCTTTAAAACTTTAGCTTTTAAACTTGTTACCCTTAGTAAGACTGTTGTCGCGCTAATTAATTAAAAATTGAAATATGAAGAAATTCCGAAATTCTTTTTATACTTCATATTGTTTTTGAAAAGTATTGAGCAATTGATTTAATGAAATGTAACGTTTTGAAATATAAAGAATATCACCACTTTTTGACGACTTCTTATTTTTACTCATGCCCGGCGTACTTTATTGACGATCCCTTATATTTAAATTTCTTAAGGGGCTACCCCCCTCTGTTTTTAAATCTAAGTATTTAAAAAAAAAAATGTTATGGGTTTCTAGGTTTTAGTAAAATATAAACCTTTTTAAAAAAAAAATTAAAAAAAAATTGGTGGTTTCCTTGGTAATCAAAAAATACCCCTAAAATGACCAAAAAATAACTTCACGCTGGCCAAAATATAAGAATATGTGTACATATTTACCTTTTAAAATTTTAATACAATATTATCATAAAGTAGGGCTGTGAAATGAATGGATCAGATTTTTCATAACATTTTGCCATCATCAAAATGGCGCAATCAAAGATCATGGTCAAAATTTTCATCGATTTTAGGTCATATATATATATTTTTAATAAAATAAATAAATTCCTATCCATTCATTTCACAGAGTATAACATGATAAACACTTCCTGAAAATTTCATACAAAAATGTAATACGGTTCTCCAGATAATTTGGCCGGCGTGCACAAATTTCTATTTTGAGAAAAAGACAATTTAAGTTAAAACTTTTGAAAACAATACAATTTTTTTCATAAAAACTGTTAAAAAATAAACAAAGTTTTCAAAATCCACCAGGAACATACAAGTCACCTTCTTTTTCAATTATTTTCTCATTCTTCTTCAGTTTCTTGGCACGTAATACTTGCCTTCTTAACTTTTTAACAGGGTTCATTCTAATTTCTGCTTTTTGTAATCTTTCATTATTTAATGATTTGCATCCTGCAATCATATGAAAGCCTGGTTCCATGTCCAGTTGCTTCAAAATATCAATAGATGCTTTTGCTCCAATATTAAAATTGGCAACAGCATCATATACACTAATTGTTAATTGGGTAAGTGAACAAATGTTTGTTTTGGTATACGCTTCCAAATCTTCCATAAAAAGACTCATTGGCATTTTGTGTCTTACCTTGCAAACATTTTTGTAACTCAATGTCTTTCCTTAAATCCTTAAATATAGTTCTTACTTTCATTATGACATCCATTGGTAAACCCGGTTCCGGCTTATAGTTTGATGTCTTATTTATTTTATTGGCATTGTATTTGCACCAGCTGTCTGCACCAGTGAGGCAGTGTGGCAAATGTAAGCTATTATTTTTTGAGGAAGCAACATGAAATAGTGATGCCAACACCAGTTGGATCAGATTTTTGGAGGCTTTGAGTTAAATTACAACCTTTACAATATCTGGACATGATTTCAACATTTAAAATTTTGCCACTAGCAGTAGAGATAGCAGAAAAGACTCCGTTGAGTGATGAGTATCCTCGTTTTTGCCATGTTCCATTGCAAGATAAACAAATATCGGTTACTTTCAAAGCTGTATTTTGCAATTTATTAGCAGCATTTAACATTGTTCATTCTGCTACATTTTTAACAGCTTTTGAAATTACTTTTATCAGTTTTTCAAAATTGTTTTTGGTCATTAGCTTAGGTAGATTCATAATGGTACAAAATTTTTTGATGCCTGCATATCCATGACCCAATAATCGCATACAATAAATTACTTGTTTATTGATATCAAATCCTTTTATATTTGTCATAGTTAGAAGTGTAGAACTTTTGAAAATGGTTACAAGCTCTTTTCATACACTTAAGATATAGTAAGGAAGATAAACCACGTCGTTGAGTATATCTCTCACTTAGTGAGATTGTTGAACAACCACACTCTGGACACAAAACAGAACTTAAAATAGACATTAAAACAGCAACATAAATTATACGATAACCAGATATGGCAGGTTTTGAAATAATTTTATCTTTTAAGTTTTCGATTTTATGAGCTGAAGCTGATAAATTAGGTGGATTTTCGAAAATTGGTTCAGTAACACAAGTGATGTTAGGGGCATTTGGATTTATTGTCGGCAATTCGATATTAGTACTAATTAAACTAACCTAATAAAATTTCAAGAACTGACTGAACTGAAGAATATTGTTGTACTTGATGTACCAAGGTATTGGTAAATTCCAGAAAAACGCATCAAGAAGTTGTTCAAGCTTATGCATTGCAAGTGTAACACTATTTTGGATGAAATTAAGGTAAAAGTATGGTGTATAAAATTGTTTAAGTGCGTTGCTATGGCGTTGCTAAGGAAATTACTTAAGAGGTGGTTAACTTAAATAGACAATTTAAGATAGTTAAAGATTGATCTGATATATCCAAAACAAATTTTATGATTCTGCATAGTTTGAAAGAGTTAAAATTAAAAAAAAAAAAAAATTAAAAATTTTGAAATTTTATGGGGGGATAGCCCCTTAAATAATGTTTTTTTTTATAAATTTTAATTTTTTTACTCATAAATAGAAAAAATAAGATAGGGGGGGAGGCGTACGTACTTTTCAAGGTGGGGGGGGGGAGGACTAAAAAGTACGCAAGGCAACTGAGGGGAGAGGGTCAATTTTTTGAAATTTTTGGCGTACGTACTTTATGGATGACCCCTAAACTAACGCATGCGCAAAATATCATTTTGTCTACTTAATTAACGATCTACTTATCCGTGACACCGGAGATATTGATGCATACATATCTTTGAAAATAGGGCCGGTGCAAGTAAATTTCAATCGGGGAGGGGTTGCTATACGGGTTTTTGCTAAGAATAAACCACATTACCTTTTCTGCCATAAATGCGGGCAAATTTGTAAAACAGGTATATAAACAATGGTTTGTTGTTACCCAGTTTTCTATTTCCATTCAAATAAACGCAGAATTTTGTAATGAAAAACTTATATTTTAGGGGGCGCCAGTTGACTGCCTTTGGAAGCGTGGGAAGCAGCAGCATGATCCCTTCCCCCACGCCTTATGCTGAATCCGTCACTGATAACAACATATATTACACCCGTAACCACTTAACCATACACATTCCCATAATCTAGCATGTCCTTGTCGGTCTCGGTAGATTCATTATTTTGAGCGGGAATGTTCATTAATGTTTTGCAAGTTTAGACAAAATATAACCATTGTTACAAGCATATTTTCAATAGCCTTTTCACTTAACAATTGTAAAATGGGTATTCATGGTTTAACTAAACTATTGGGAGATCACGCACCGTCAAGTATGAAAGAAAATGAAATTAAAAATTATTTTGGTGAGAGTGGTATTTTTATTTGAAAATTAGTTTAATAGGCTGATAATTGTTTGTTTTTATCATTTCGCAACTATTTAGGGTTAAAAATTTTAGTTGATGGTTACAACCCTGATCATATAACTAGTATTTTTACGATTAGAATTGGAAGTTATTCATTGTAAAGGAGATTTCTCACTCTAATTTCAATTTAGTGTGAACCTGATAAAATTTTTTTGTTCTCTAAAAAATATAATTGTAAAAAAGCCATCCAAGAACGAATATTTAGGAAGATGTAATAAGATATAATTATGTGAGCAGAACATGCTATCTTATAGTATGATAGTATAGTAACATAGACAGAGGCTCAAATTGCTGATAGAGCAGATCTAAATATAAAAAAAGGACATTACTAAATAATCCAGGTAAGATATAACAGTACTAAACAGATAAATATGTCATTAGTATAAAAAAGTTTAGTCAAAAAAATCAATAAGCACAATAAAAATTTCAAATATAAAAAATAGTATTTTTGTATAAAAATAATAAATTTGATATATGGTTTTTTTATTCCAATGAGAAGTCTATTGCTCTAAGTATTAAAAAAAAAATAGACAATTTATCAAGATCTAAATCAAAGTGATTATATTAGAAACAAATTAGATAGCAATGATATTGTAGATATTAACACAAAGATCACCAATCAAATAAGATAGCAATGAGGAAAAACTAAGTGCCAATTAGAATAAAAAAAAATTAAAAAAATTTTTTTTAGTAAAATGTCTTAAGTTTTTGTGCTAGCATTGTTCCTGGTACTAAAACGTAGTTGTTCAGTAAAGAAGTGTTTAAGTCACTAAATGTGAATAAAGAATAAGATGTTAAACAAAGTTTTTTTTGAGTGGAAGACCTTGGGTGCTAAAGTTAAAAAAAAAAACCCTGAATTTTAAAAATTGAGACTGCTGTGCAGAGAAACAAGTTAAGTGTGATATTACCAAGGACGTGGTAAAGAACTTGGTATTTCTTGATTATGTTGTAAGTGCTATATTACCATACTACTTTTGCATTAAGCAAATAAATTGGTGATGACAGACCATAAGTAACTTCTATTTCTTAGTTGTTGATCCCACAAAATGTTTCTTAATCACAAATGAGCCTAAAAAAATTATTTATCCAGAATTCCTTTTTTTATTGTACAGTTTCATACAGTCCACTCTCCCTAAGAGGGATTAGCCATCTTCAGGAGAAAGCAGCTAGTCACTATAGTGCTTTAGTACAGAAGAGACAGGTCATAACAGACCGGCTTCTCTGTAGTCAAGAGCTTGAGCTACCATAGCACATCAAGTTAGGCCTAATCAAGCAACTTGTCGCGCTCCTGACAAAGAATCAGCGCTTTTAAATATACCCCCAAGATCTTTTTCTAAAGCTGTCTAAGGCTAAGGTTAGCTCTTCTATTTTTGTCAGACTACAGGTCAAGAAGATCATAGAATATTAAGAGTTAGCCAAGCTCCTAAAAAAGATAAAGAAAGCAGCTTAAAGCAGTATTGTTGCAGTTGTTTATGACTTCCTGGGTAATTGCAAGACTAAAAAGTATGTGGGGTTTGTTCAAAATCTCATAAAGTATTACGTTTATAGAATGTTGTTCAAAAGCCATATCTTTGACTATGATTAGAAACTATATTCGAGGGCTACTTTGCAAAAGTGATTTATTACATTTGCAAATCTTTAGTTATGAATAAAAGGAACCTACTGCTTTAGGTAATTATCTGTAATTGTTATATATAATTACTTAAATGCTAAATGTTATTGGCTGCATTGTTTAAAGACACAATGTCAAGAATTTTAATCTTGGCTGACCAAAATATAAAAATTTTCTTGTTCTGTCTTAATAAAATGAGTTTTTATTTGCTTAATATATTGTTTTTTCACAGTCTTTAGATATAAGCAAAAGAAATAAAACTCTTTAAAAAATTTTTTGCATTAAATATAAGCTTAAACTCAAAAAAGTTTTGAGTTTAAGCTTATATTTAATGCAATTTATTTTCAGTTGTTTGCAAAATATGTTTTAAGAATAAAGTTCTAACACTAAAAGTCCAAAATGCATTAAAGAAGAAAGTTAGTAATATTTACATAATTAATTAAAAAATTTACTCTAATGACATTAATTATTCTAATACTACCTGAATAGCAGTTTTAAAATGCCAAATAAATGTCCCAATATGTTTATAAAATTTTTTTCCCCTTTAACCTCAAGGTTCTGAATAAAAATCCATTGATTATTTTATTTAATTTATTTTATCAACTCTTTTTTGTTTAATTGACTTCAATTAGCTAATAATTATAACAATTAAATATTCAAATCATGTATTTTTATTAATGTATGTATGCTTTTTACATAACAACACTTTTAGAGATTCTTGCCAGCACTTTTTTTTTTTTTATATTTGCATTCACTCCCAACAAGGCTGCAAGCAACCACTATTAAGTTGGGAGTTACTAGGAAAAAAAAAGAACAGAGTTATAGAGCAAGGAAACGGTTGACAGAAGACTTGAAAAGTTGAAGGTTGTATGAGTCAGGAAAACATGAAGATGGGAGAGAGTTCCAAAGGATTAAAGTGCGGGGAAAAAAACTAGATGAATAAAAGTTTTTATAGCATGCAGGGACAGATACAGTAAACGAATGAGACTTAGCTAAATGACGAGTAAAACAAGAATGAATTTTAGTTGATGGAACTAGAGATGATAACTCCTTTGAGCAGTGACCATGATAGTATCTGTAGAAAAGAGAAAGAGATGCAACTTTACGACCATGAGAAAGAGGTTCAAGCTTAGCAGATAGTCCAGGTCCAACAACATTTACAATGCGTTTTTGGAAGAACCAGCCCAAATATGACAACAGTATTCCATACAGGGACGAATAAGAGATTTGTAGAGGTAGAGAATGGAATCAGAAGTAAGGAAATGGCGAGCACGATAAAGAGAAGCAACCTTAGCAGAAGCTAATTTAGCAATCGATTGTATATATGGTTTCCATGAAAGGTCAGTAGTAAGCGATAATCCGAGAAGACATAAAGAGGACGACTCAGTAAGAGGATTGCCATTCATTAATATAGGAATGTTGACCATATTACGGTAGTTGTTTGCAGTAAGCAATTGGGTTTTTTTAGAGTTGAAATTCACAAGCCACTGTGAACCCCAATCTATTACTGAAGTGAGATCAGATTCAAGATCAGCTGCTTGTTCTAGGCGATCGAAAAGAGAAGACTTTTTGTCAAGACAGGAGTATAGAGTTAAGTCATCAGCAAAAAGTGCTACTTTAGATGAAAGGTTGTCAGGAAGATTGTTTATGTAGATAAGAAACAAAACAGGGCCCAGGATGGAACCTTGGGGAACCCCCCAGAAGTTACTGGAAATAAAGAAGAGTGTTGGCCTTCAAGGATGACTTTAATAAACCGGTCAGAAAGAAATGATTTGATAATCTCAAAAACTCTCCCAGAAACACCATATAAAGCAAGCTTATGGAGAAGACCAGCATGCCAAACTTTGTCGAAAGCTTTAGATATGTCGAGAGCAATAGCCCTAGCCTCACCGCCTCCATCTAATGCACGATAAAATCTTTCAGTTACAGCAGTTAGCAAGTCGGCCGTAGAGCGAGAGGATCGAAAACCGTATTGACTGTCTGACAGCAGTTTATTTGACTCAAGATGAGATGTGAGGAATTTGTTGATCAAAGACTCAAAGACCTTGCTAATAACAGAAAGAAGACTGATCGGACGATAATTGGAGGGGTCAGAATTTTCTCCAGAGTTTTTGAAGATTGGAACCACAGATGGCATTTTCCAACAAGCAGGAAAACAAGACTCAGTCAAACACTTGTTAAATAGTTTAGAGAGAATTGAAGAAAGTTCTGGAGAACATTTCCGCAAGACTGTGACAGGAATGTTGTCTGGACCACAAGCTGTAGACGAGTTTAATTGAAATATGACTTTAGCAACAGAAGCCAGAGTGATTTGAATGTCTAACAATGGGTCAACCTGTTTGACTGGAATGGAAGGAAGAGAATGTCCATAAGATTCAAGAGTGGAATTAGAAGAAAAGTTCTTTGCAAACAGTTCTGCCTTATCCCTGGGAGAGGTAACAAGATCAGTCCCATGAATGAGAGATAGAATGTTAGATCTACCCTTGTTAACAATGCTGTCGAAGATTTTCCAAAAGTCTTTAGAGCCTAACTTCTGCGATAAGATGCGAGATTTAGTGAACTGAGAATAATGGAGTTTAGCATCAGAAAGCACCTTTTTACATCGATTTCTTGCAATAATAAATAGCCGTTTGTTCTCAAGAGAGTTGTTCTTTTGAAAAAGATGAAAAAATGGTTACGATTGGATATAGCAGCCACACAAGAAGGAGAAAACCATGGAGTAGAGTGAGGCTTGACTTGAAACCGACAAGAAGGAATAAAAGCTTCCATTCCAGCCTGAATCCAGGAGGTTACGTAGGAGGCGCATTTGTCAGCTGAGAGAGAAAAAACATCAGCCCAAGGACCATCACGAAGAAAATCACGATTCCCAATCAGCTTTAGGGTAGTAGTAGGTGGTGCGATGATAAGGTGAGCCCAAAAAAGAAGTACGAGAAGAAAGATTTATAGAGATCATTGCATGGTCAGAACCACCTAAGGGAGAAAAGGGAGAAACTAAACATAAGCTAGGGTCAGAGACAAGACATAAGTCAAGGAGTGAAGGTAAATGTTTAGGGTTGTCAGGAAAACGAGTCACAAAGTTAACTATCTGAGTAAGAGATTGAGAAACGCAGAAGTTAAAGGCTTTAGTGCCAGCAGGATCAGTGGTGTTAGAGCCAAGCCATTCAGTGTGATGGGCATTAAAATCACCAACAACAACAATATTGGCAGAGGGGTAAAGAGAGAGCGCATGGTCAATTTGATCAGAGATAACATCTAAAAGAGTGCAATCATGGGAAGAAGGAGAACGATAAAGAACAAAGAGAAAGGTGTTAGAGTGAAGAGGTGCTAGGTGAAAGCACATAAAAAAATGGTCAAAGGATTCGAACCTGATTTCACGACAAATAGGGGAATTATTGCGTATGTATACCCCTAAACCTAGCATGTGACTATTGGAGTCTTTACGAATCAAAGGATAGTACCCATCAACACTGACATCTGAAGAAGGAATTGCAGAACTTAAATTTGTTTCACTGAGTGCAAGCAAGTCTGGTGAATTTTGCAGGAGGTAAGACTCAACTGTTTAAAAATATTTAGGTGGTGGGGATGGTTTTTTAGGTTTTAAATTTTTGGTTACTTTGGTCATGATTTGGGTTTAATGAGAACTTGACTCATTCATAGATAGAGCACAGCCTCCTAATCAATGAGCTATGCAGTTGTCTCAGTCCTGTTAATTAACCCTAAGCCGTGACATAGGGCTCCTTATGTGGCCTTGACAATGCACACCAAAAGCATTAACAGCGACACCATCCATGCGCAACATGGCACTGTTAATACTCTGATATTTTGCAGCTGTTGATGGAATCAGCCTCTCTGAGAGCTACCACAGAGATCGGGAAACCTTACTACCAGCCGGCCTCAGAACCATTAAACTGAGTTTTAGAGCTGTACCCTCATATGGAGATAACAGGAAGAGTTGCATAGCCATTATCAAGGAGGCATAAGCAAAATTTTATGAGTAGAGTCAAGGAGATCCAGCATTCATCATCCTAGGCAGGAAACAATGTAACACAGGTTACATCTGCGCCAGCCTAATAGATGAAGAAGGGGTTCGAGGCTGGTTAGCAGAATTTTTCTGCTTACCCCTAAAAAAAAAAAACTTATATGCTGCAGTGAAGCAAAGGTGGTTCTTATGTTAGCGTTACCAAATGCTGACCTGAATTTAAAGTGTTGTAAATAAATAACTAAGTTTTAAGTTAAGAAATAAGTTTTTTTAATTAATAGAGAACATTGAGTTGTAATGTAAGGTTTTTGCAAAACAAAACAAAAAAGGCTATAAAGTAATTCTTGATTATATGTTGTACAAAATAAATGCATTTATATAAGTATAGATATTACATAGATATAGACTTCATTGTGCAGTTTATATTGCTGACTATTATTTACTAATTACAGGCTTCAACACTATTGTTTGTTTAATTGCAAAAAATAATCTTATACCTATTTTTATTGGTTAATATAAAAATTTATTATGTTTTTAACAGCCTTTTCTATTGTGTTTTTAACAGATTTTTCTATTGTGTTTTTAACAGTCTTAATTAAGCCAAGCTATAAAAAGATTATCAGTTACTTAGTGCTCGTGAAAAGCAGTTACGTAGAATTTCCAGAAAAAATGTAAAATTGCCAACTTTATTATTATATTTTGTAAAGATTTACTTGCTAAGAAAAAAGTTGCAGTGATTAAAAAAATAGTTTTGAAAAAGCCAATAATTTTGTAACTAGGAAATGAATTTCAATTTAATTCAAATTCTAAAAACAATTGAAAATAAAAACATCAGTGCAATTCTCTTTTTATTTTTGCATAAAACATCAAATTAATAAAGAAACAAATTTATGTGTGTGCTATTTTATTATTAACTGATAAAAACTAGTCTGTATTTAGCAATTAAATATTTGTTTAATTGAAATATGGTAAAATAAATATTTTTATTCTAATCATTTTGAAGTTGTTTTGATTGTTTAAAAGTAAGTAATAAAAAGTGCATTAAAAATCAATTTTGTTAACAAAATTATTTAATTAAATTAAAATTTTTTTTACAATCAATGGCTACCGTATCATGCAGCAGAACTTTTTGGTGATGGAACGAAAGCTTATTTTTACAATTTTACAATTTATAATTGTATTTCATTAGTGTTTTATTTTGCATTTATTTGTTTGGTTCAAAAAAGGCAGTATTTTAAACAATTAGTTAATGTAATAGCTAAATCTTAAAAATATTTTCAATCTTTAAATTTTAGTTATTGATTCAACTAATTGTAAAATAATTGTTAATTGCAAAATTATGCATACTTAGTCTTTATTTATATGAGTTCAAAGGTTTTTTTAATTGTATTAATAATGAAAAAAAACTTAGAACTCAAACATATCTATATCACTGTTTAAGCTATATCACCATTTGGCAATGCTGACCTATGTATAAGTTTGTTTCCCTAATGTTTTTACTTGACATTGACAGTTCTATTTAATAATTTATTAAATATCAACAGTTTTATTCAGCTATATTAATGATCCAGGATAATGTCAATTGATTTTATTATTCACTTAACTTTTTTACTCTTGCTTT